GCTTGTTGTTGTCGCAGGAATTACTAAGACTTCTTGTGCACTTATTTGGGTTGTGCTTGTTTCGGAAAAGTTTATGTAGATTCCAGGGCATGAGTTTTTTCCTGTTCTCATGAGGTCTGCTAAACAAGGTTATTGTTTGTGCAGGTTTTGTTGTAGGCAAAAGTAAAGGTTCTCGATTTCTGGGCATTTTTCTGATGTGGTCCAGTATTCTTCTGTGTTGAGTAAGAGGTAAGGGTGTTCAGGGATTATGGTTTGGTTTTTTATTGGTATTGGATACAGTTGGATGTATTTAAATTGGGAAGATGTTATAGGCATATGAATTTTGAATAAAATTAATCTTTCTTTAATGATTACCTGTGCGGATAAGAGAGAATAATAATTTAGTAAACGCTTGAGTTTTGGTACCTTTTCTATACCGTAAATTTTACTTAACTTCTCTAAGGCTGATCTGAGATGTTTTGTTTTCAGTATTGAACTGTGCAAAATATTCAGTCTAGCAAATGAAATTGCTGTTTCAAGTTTGTTAAATATGTATTGAAGTGCTTGAAGTTCTGTTTGTAAATTGTCTATGATATTAAAGAATGAAAAGGCCTGGTCTAGGTTCATTAATTCATTGACTTCTTTCGATAGATGTTTAACATGATTTTCTAAAACATTTTGATTTTCGCTTAATGTTCGGAAATTATCACTATATGTGTTCGTAAGCTGAGTGAGGAAACTTTGCTGGGTTTTCAGTCATTGTGGAGAGTTTTTTCATTTGATTGCAGTGTTTCCAAGTATGAAGTTATATGATTTTCGTCTTCCGAATCTAATGTTCCGAATAACCATTTTTGAACTTTACCTACTATGTTAATTAGACCTCTTTTCTTTCTGTATTTTTCTGAAAGGTTATCGATTTTGCTTGAGACTGTTGCTGCTAGAGAGTTTGCATGAGATATTTTATTTAATAATAAGATAGAAAAGTGGTTTACTTTTTGTTGGTCGTTGATTGAATTTTGTAGATTATTAAGTGAATTCTTAATTTGTGTTAAAGAATTTGCGGGATTAGTAAGATTGATGTGGTAAAGGAATGTGTGTTTTGAGATGATGGTTTGTGTTTGTCCGATATGTACTGGTAAGATAGGATTCTTAATTTCTTTTATTTCTAGTGCGTAGACTAGTCCTAGTCCGAGGATTATTGTTATGTATCGCATATCGTCTACCTGAAACAATACGTTGAGGTTTTAGAATACGCTGATGGTAGATTTTCCTGTTGGATTTTATTTTATTATCGCTAATAATTACAGGGTTTTCTAATTCCTCGTATCTATTCATTTTCTTCTTTTGAGATGCATTACATTTCTTTTGCTTAAATAGCTTCTGTGTGGGGTCAATATTTGCCTGGGGTTGTTTGTCTTGGTTGATTTTCTCTAGGCTTGTTCTTTGTTTATTTTCTAGTTTTTCGAGTATTAGTTTGTTCAAGGTTTGGATATTATCTACATGGTCCTGCATATATTGGGTTATTTTATCCTTTTCTGATATTTCAAAGGGATTCTTATAATTTAGTTTCCCTCGTATTATTTGGAAAGGTGTATAATCGGTTGCACTGTGGATTGAATTATTGTATGACAGAAGGGCATAGTTTACTAGAGTCTCAATCGATTCGTTAGGTTTGGTGTTTTTTAGGGTCGTTATAGTCTGTGCTAAAGTTGAGTGGAATCGTTCGACGGGACTGTTACTATTAGGATTGTATAGAGTAGTGTAATGGATTTCAATTTCGTGTGTCTTACATAGGCTTTGAATAACTTCGTTTTTTAATTCTGTTCCGTTATCCATGGTTATGCGTCTAGGGAGACCGAAATGGTTAAAGAATTGAAGGAGTTTGTTTGATATTTCAATTGCGTTTGGGGATTTTATGGGGTATGCTTGACTAAATTTCGAGAAGCTGTCTGTTATCGTCAGAAAATATTGTCCGTGTGTTTTATATGTGTCTATATATAAGTGGTCAAATGGTTCATAACCTAGAGGAGTGGGTTTAAAGACTATTTTTGTTGGATGTCTCTCGTATTTTGATTTTTGGCATATTTCACAAGTATTCACATAATCCTTTACGTCTTTGTCTAAGTTTGGCCAATAATATACTCTCCTGATTGAATTTAAGTTTTCTTGAATGCCACGGTGACTTGTTTTAGTTTCATGATATTGTTGTAATCTGAGTTTTTGTTCGTCTTCATCTATGATGTCTGTAAGCATAGAGTTAGAAATATGTAAGGTGAAGCTGTTATTTTTGAAGTAATTTTGGAATATTCTGATTAGTGGCGGTTCGAGTTCTTTATCTTTGAAGTAGAAACAATAGGTTTGTTTTGGAACCATGTTTTCTTTGATGAACTTGGTAAAAAGTTCATCATTTCTTGTTTTTGAAACTGTAAGGTGTATTCTAGTTTTATTGAAAATCGTCTCTCTATGAACCTTGTAATATAATGGGTCTTTTTGGCTAGAGATTATTATTTGATTTTTATAAGTGTTAATACTTTTTTCTGTATAGGTAGCGCCTATTATGGGATCGCTGTGGCTTGAATGAGCTGTTTCATTATCTGTATCTTCAGTGGTATTCGGTATTGGGGCAGATTCATTGCTTCCTGTTGCTGGGTGAATTGTATTATTCGCGGGTTTTATAACGACATTTTCGTGAATGACTACCTTTGAAGTTTGATCAGGGTTTTCATTTTTATTCAAGGAATAATTGTTGGAAATTCCAAGGATTTCATCGATTTCCTCTTTTGAAAGATTCGGTAAGTTGACTGCATCGCCTGCGTTTGCGATCATTGAAATTGTATCATCGAGGTCAAGTTCCATGGGGTTAATTTCCACACGAGAAAGTGCATCAGCGTTAGTGTTTAATTTGCCTTTTTTGTATACATTTTCGTAGTCGTACTCTTCAAGTTTAAGTCTCCATCGGATCAGTTTAGAATTTGGGTCTTTTAGAGAAAATAGCCATTGTAGGGGTTTATGATCACTAATTATTTTGAATTTGACTCCGAATAAATATGGTCTGAAATATTTGGCTGCCCATACGATAGCAAGAAGTTCCTTTTCTATAGTACTATAATTGATCTCTGAAGGATTCAGGGTTCGAGAGGCATAGACGACTGGAAGGTCGTTACCTACAGGGCCTTGAGATAAGATTGCTCCTATGGCAAAGTTAGATGCATCCGTAGTTAAGTTGAAGGGCTTTGAGAAATCGGGATATTGGAGAATGGGGTCATTCATTAAGATTTTCCTGCAAGTATTGAAAGAATTGACGAATTCGGGGCTGTGTTCGACCTTTTGATTTTTTTTGAGGCAGTGCGTCATGGGCTTTGTTAACTTTGCAAAATCCTTTATAAATTTGCGGTAATAGCCGACTAATCCTAGAAAGGACTTTATTTCCTTGGGGGTTTTTGGAATTGGGAAATTTTCAATTGCTTTCAATTTTTTTGGATTGGGTTTTATACCTTCAGGTGTTATTATATGGCCTAAAAATTCGACAGTTTTGCACAAGAATTCCGATTTGTCGAGCTGAATTTTAAGTCCAGCGTCTCTTAGTCTTCCAAGGACTTGTTCTAGATTATTTATGTGTTCTTGAAGAGATGTCGAAAATATTATTATGTCGTCCATGTAGACAAGACATTTTTTTCCTTGAAGGCCTTTTAGGACATCGTCCATTACTCTCTGGAAGCTCGAGGGGGCATTTTTGAGTCCGAAGGGCATTCTTAGGTACTCATAATGTCCATTTTCGACATTAAAGGCGGTCTTAGAGACGGAATTTGGGTGCATTTCGATCTGGTGAAAGCCAGAGGCTAGGTCGAGAGTGGTGAAGTATTGGCACCTTCCAAGTTTGTCTAGGATGTCTGTGATGTTGGGCAAAGGATATCGGTCGTCAATTGTTTTTTCGTTCACCTTCCTGTAGTCGACAACTATTCGCCATTTCTGTTTACCACTGGCGTCAATCTTCTTTGGGACGATCCAAATGGGGGAACTCCAGGGGGATTGTGATGGTCTAATTATTCCGTCTTCAAGCATTTTTGATATTTGCTTTTGGACTTCAGCTTTATGTACAAAGGGGTATCTATAAGATTTGGTATAGATGGGTATGTCTTGATTTCATGTTTGATTTTGCTAGTGAATGTAAGTTTTTGGTTGGGTTGATGTAATATTGCTTTATACTTTGAAAGCAGATTTTTTAAGGCTGTTTTTTCCTCAGGGTTCATGTGATCGGTTCGAATCAAGGAGAAGTCAAAAGTGTCGTCTCCTGGTGTGAATGAAGGGGATAGTTGTTCTATGTGAAAACACTCGTAATGAATTTCATGGTATTCCTTTGCGAACGGGGTTAAAAAATCTTGATCTATTTCTATTAACTCTGATTTATCTGTCGGATTAGAAAGTTCTAAGGTTGTTAATCCATTCTCGATTTTTAAAAGTGAACTTGGTATGTTGATGACATTGTTACTAAGATCGGGTATTAAAATTTCACCGTCTGGTAATTCGGTTTTAATTTGCTTTAAAACTGTTGTTAAAGCAGGAATTTCAATTTTCTGGTAATCGAATTCCTGTCGGTAATGAAGAGGAATCATTACGTTTTCATTAAAAAGCATTTTATTAGTAGTGTCTATGTTTAGTTTAAGTTTTCTTAAGTCGCGTATTCCTATAATGCCGTCGAAATAATCGTGGAAGTTATATAGTACGAATTCTATATTACCGACTAGAGGTTGAAATTCTGTGAACAGAGGGATAATTGCTTTAGAATTTGAATTACTTTGTCCTGTACAAGTTACGATTGGTGTTTTCGAATAGAAAATTGCGTCGGGAAAATATTGTTCTGCGATGTGAGGTCGTAATAATGATGGGTGGCATCCCGTATCAATGAGCAGTTTGATAGGGGGTTGATTTATTTGGATAAATGGTCGGGAATTTGCCATGAAATTATTAAGATCTATGACTGATCTATTGGAGGCTCGGCCTCTTGAAAATTTGGTTTGTACCAAGTAGATAAATTTTCTTGGGATTCAGGCTCTGTGTTTTCGGAATAGTAATTGTTTTCTTCATATTCGTTGGATTCGTTGTATTCTACAACAGGATTGTCATCGGGTTGGTCAGTTTCCACATTGGTTAATTCCTGGAATGTGAAGTTTGGAGGTCCAGTTCGTTGGAAATCATTTCGTGGTGCCTGATTGTTAAAATTTCTTGTAGAGGGTAATCTACTTGTGGTTGACATAGGTTCTGCTTTACCTTGGGGTTTGTGAGAATTTTTCGGTGAAAACACATTTGTTGGTTTGCCAAATACTTCCTGGTTAGTGAAGTACTTAGGTTGAACCGGACGTGGTTCCATTTTTATAGTTCGGAAAAGAGCTTTGTTGTTGGGAATTCCTGTAAGAATTATTTTGGTTCTGCACCTGGTTTGAGGTATAGGTAGGAGTATTTTGTACATATCTTGGTTGGTAATTGGTGTTTTTATGATTTGTATTATTGTTGTATGCTCTGATGTTAGTATTATTGTGATTGGGTTTATTTACAAGTTTCTGGTAAGATTGTTGTCTCAGGTTGATTTGTTGTTCTAATAAAGAGTGGTTTAAAACTAAAGACGTCGCGTCCTCGATATTTTTGGGATTTTTTAACGTTAATAATGTTCTAAGTTCAGTATTGCAATTAGCCATCAAAACTGTAACTGCTGTTACTTCATTTTGATCTATCAATACTAATTTTGTTTGATCATTGATATCTGGGTCTGAATTAATTTTTAAGTTGAGACGCATTTTTGAGAGTTTTAGTCGTTCTAGAAATTCTGCAATGTTTTCATTTCTATTTCTTGTTAAATAAATGAATTGTTGCTGTAGAACGTGACGATCGACTTTGTCGCCATACTTTTCGCGTAAGGCTTGTCGAATTTGTGGCCAGGTTTCTAGATCTCAGATCTGGACTGCACAATAAAAAGTCGCCAGCTTCGTCGATAATTTTCGAACAAATTGAAGCGAAAACGAATTCATTTAGGTTATTATCGGTCGTTTGACCATATCTAGCATGAAATTTGTCAACTGAATTAATGAAAGATTCTAGGTGATCACTACGACCAGTGAAATTCCTAAGAATTCGTGCAATTTCTTTTGCTGCCTGGATAGTTGGCACAGTAAAACTGATATTTCCAAGATTTCTAGCCAGAGCCTCAGCGGTGGCTGCTGGTTGTGTCATTGTTATTTAATAAGTATAAAGAGAAAATTGTAAAAATAATTGAGAATAATTTAAGATTTTTGAGACAGAATATGCCTATAATTATTGGTATTAAGGAAAAGTGCGGGAAAAAAAGAAGGTACTCAACACTTACTTGAAGTCCTCAGAGTCTTTCCTTGTCCCTGTTTTCTCCAGACGAATGGTTGAAACCAACGACGAATTGCAAAATACTGCGATTTTCAGGAATTCGCCTTCTGGAATCCTACCGACCGCGCCAGTTAAGTTTCTCGTTTACGCGAAACCGTAAAAAAAACTTTTATTTTCGAAATTAGGTTTACAAACTTATGCTAACAGTACAAAGTCTTCAGTAACACTAACTTAACTTCTAAGGTTGATTACACACTTATATATTGGAAAAGGTCATAAATATATCGTTAGAGTAAATACTTTAGAAAGTAGATGCATTATCTTAACATTAAGTAAATAATAGTGGAAGATTTTCAACTACATAACTCCCGGTATTGCATTCACTAGTCAAAAATAATGTACGCGTTTCTCGATAGACTGGCGAACGCAAACACAAAAAAATATAATATTGATCTGTTACTAAAAAAAAAGAAATACATGATAGAGTTAGGAAATAAAGTCTGTTTTTTTTTTAAATAATTCCCCAAGTCAAAAATTAAGTGACAATGTTGGCAACACAAGGCTTTCCTCCATACAAAATTTGAAAGCATTGACAATTCCACATTGTATTGCCAACATAATGTCATTTTGACTTTTATCCTAAAAAAAAAAACAGACCTTAGCAATGCCCAGGACTCAGGATAAAGAATGGAAAAATCTTTAGACTACGGGTTCAACATTGTGTACACACGTTTTTTTTTCCAGCAATGCAATCACTGCGTTGCGTGTTCGTCTTCCACAAAATCTAGTGAGCCAAAATAAATGAAAATAACCAAATAAAATTCTCCCATTTGATGAAGGATGGCAGCACAGTCGACAAAATGTCAGCTTACTGATGGCTGATAGAATGAGCTGCAGAAATTGCGTGGTCCAAATCATACTTACCTGGCGTAGGGGCTACCGTGATCAACAAGGCGGTTCCCCCGGGGTGAGGCCCTTCCATTGCACTACGGTTGGGCTGACCCCTGCGATTATCCCTAATGCGGATAACTCGGGCGCGTAATTTTTGGTAGTCGGGACTGCGTACGCGCTGTCCCGGGTTAATTAATTAAACAAAAGAATGTTGAATTCAATCAGCGGATTACCGTCATCAACGCGATTACTGGACGCTTAGACGGTAAATCAACTTGACTCTACCCATTTTTTTTATTTTGTATTTTTTGTTTTTTTTTAACTCTACCCAAGAATCATATCTACCTAAAGAATTATCCATGTTCACAAGTTCACAGAACTGAACTTTCTGTTTGAAGAAAATCGCAAACGTTTCTTTATCTGCATTGAAATAATATCCCTCTCCTGAGGGAGAATGGATTATTTAAGGAAAGAAAAAGAGATAGGTAGGTAATATCGTAGTTGGCTCTCAATCCATTGTATAAAAATTGTATAAATTATTGACGTTATGACGAAAGCAAAGAAAAAATGTACTTATTTATTTTTGATTAATGATTGCCAAGATTCGCAAATGCAAACTCTAAAAGAAATTATTATTGTTACGTTATGGGAAGGGAATTATTCATTGACAGCTGTTGTGCGTTTTATCGAATGCATTGCAAATGGACAAAAAGAATATCGGACTCAGAACTCGGACTAGAGATGATAATCGCATAAATGCAGTGGCGGCTCGTGACAATCCAAACTGGTGAGGCCCATGGCCCATCAAGTTAACCCAAACAAACCCAAACAAAATTTTCAAGTGTTACGCCCAAATTTTGACCCAAAATTTCATTAAAAGAACATCTCGGATATTTTTTTTTTGTATATTTCTAATGAAAATTTTCATTTCATACAGTTGCAAAACAACAGCGGTAGGTACATAATTCTTATTTAAAAACAAATATTGAGTTTCAAATTAACAAAATAAATTCCAAAAAACAGTTTTTTAACCCGCAACACACCAAAATAAAAAGTATGAGCCAAATTAACCAATTAAATACTTGTCGCAGCAGCAAGAGATGCAAGGTTTCTTATTAACAAGCCCAAAATTGTGCGCCTCAATGCCTATGAAAATTCGCTATCGTCTCACCTACAGTTGAAGGGTTGTGGTGGGGAGTGCCGTGGCATCGCTTCGGCGTTCTGTGACGCACATGAGGCCAAAATTTTTGGGATTGCTATTTTATTTTAATGCTGTCCGGCAACGATTTGAGCGCCTATAAGGATAAATCCCAAGTAGCACATAATATGGAGTAAACATCGTTTTTCAGTTGGGCCAATATTTATTCATTTTTGTTGCTAAATCAACACAGTACCAATATTGGGGCAACGTTAGTTTTCACTATGTGGAAACAATATTTGAAAATAATCTTGTACCAATATTGTTTTCATAGATTAATTAACTTTTCAGTAATTTGAATATTGGCCCAAGACTTCTCACTACAATATTGATTTATGGAATATTGGCTTAATATTTCATTTTATATCTTCGAAACAATATTGTAATATAATAATAATTCAATATTGGCATTCAATTTTTTATTGATATTTAAATTCACTTCAAAAACTTTGTACACCCAATATTTATTTTCAATTTTTTCACAATATTGATACTTTTTGAAAAGCCCAATGAAGGGCCAATATTTACATACTAATTTTTACCAAGGTTAGATTTTCTGAATTGAAAATGTTGATCCAATATAAGGTATTCAATGTGCGCACTTGGTGTGCCGACCAAAAAATAGATGGAGACTCTGTCTTCACTTTACCTGTCTTAAACCTGGTTCCGGGATGAAGCCAAAAATTGGTTGTTTTCTCTCTGCGGGACCCTGGCGGGACTTAACGGTGCTGATAAGTTGTGATACAGCGAAACGGGTCCACGGATGGTCCGGCAGAGAGAAAACACTTCTTAGTCGGTCCTTATAATTGGTCCGTTACCTTAATTAAATATAATATAAAGCCAAGATTTACATACGTCTTCGGGCCAATATTGGTAATTTCAATTGGCTCTATATTGCATAAAGTTCTTAATATGATATTGATTATTTCTTTTTGGGCCAACATTTGGTTACGTTATTGTACCAACGTTGGTATTTGTTTTTGGGTATATATTGACATACGTTCTTGGACAAATATTGCAGAATGTCCACATCTTTTATTGGGCCAACATAGAGAATCTGACTTGGGCCAATAAATCGTAGTTATTGTCCCAATATTGGCCCAACATGGGAGTGCTGCTTGGGATAGGTAGAAGCGCGCGCTAAATTCAAGAAATAGTATTATATTTTAATGAAAATTCGATGTTTTGATTCTTTCAATGATTGAAAATAGTTGAAAAACGTTAAATATTTAATGAATATTATTTCAAAATTTTACATCATTATTGTAATTTTTACATGTGAGGCCCGGCCTCAGTTGCTTTATACGAGCCGCCACTGCATAAATGTAATATTATATATTATATAATTACACTTTGAAGGGGATCTACCCTAAACACAGTAACATCGCAGAAACGTTCCAAAAACGGAATACTTACATGAAAATTAATGTTAGTATTTTTTGTCATGGCAAATTGAGTCTGATAACACGGCAACAGATGTCTCCACTGTCGAACTTTTGTCACTGTGAAAAGTGAAGAATGAGTCTGGCCACAGCCTCCTATACTTAACAAGCCATGAAGTTGGAAATGACGGCAACGTCGCGTATGGTGCTATTTTGTTATTGGGTTATGTGTTTCTGTGTATTGCTTTCATTGTGTATTGTTGCAATTTAGTATTTTTATGGGCATTATTGACGAAAAAGTGGATAGAAACACACTAATATATTGCCCATATTTAGTTGATACCTGTTCCTTTGTACTTTGATTGCAAATTTTTAGCAAATGGGTACAGGAGCAAAAATGAAGGTAAGGTAAGGTAAAACAATAAAAACAATATTAATATTTGTCTGCAAGAGCATAGGTCTCGATATAGTACCTAGGATATTTAAACGTGTTCCAGAATCCAGATGCCATGAAACTACTGTGTTCCTGGGTGCAAATCGAACTAT